ACGAAATTATGTCTAAAGAGTTCTTCATGACATGTATTGACTGTAAGACACAAAGCATACAGGATCTAAGTGTGATGTTAAAGGTCAACACGTAACTAGTGAACTGATAAATATTGTACAATTTATCTAAAGAGTACATTTATGAAAACGTGGTACTTTTCTGATATCTAGTTAAATTAACACTTACCCACATCTTGGCATAAGCATGACTTAAAATGATCACGGCTAAAACACTTCCGTGCGAATCAAGAATTCTTTATGTAAGAATAGAGCTTTATAAGACCGTAAATGCACCACACATTATGTCTCCATAAGATGGTAGCTATATCAAACTTAAAAATGACGATTATCTGAAAAATCGACCATTTTAGGGAAATTCTGGCCGCCATTTTGAATTTCCGCCATCTTGGATTTTGGAACCCCGTTATATTTAGATTAATTTTAAGTTTAGTGACACTGAAAATCCTTTAAATTACATATTATAAATCATATCAAAGAGTGAAATGACTTTTATCTGGCAAATCAGCCATTTTAGGTAAATTTTGGCCGCCATTTTGAATTTCCGCCATCTTGGATTTGGGGAAACTAGTTTTAGAGATTATTTTTTCAGTTCAATTACTAAAAAACCTTATATATGATATATTACAAGCCATACCTTGCGTGATAATCACCCATACTATCTGGAAATTAATTTTTCGTCAAATTCTGGCGGCCATTTTGGAAATCAGAAAAACCCCAACCGAAAATGACGTCACAGAAGTAAAATAATCTCATAATCGTCTTCAGTGACAAATTTTGCCTCAGAAACAACCCGACCCCAAATTTTGTTCCGATTGTGACACCCCTACTATCACGTCTCAACGTTCCTACCTCGTCACGACACTGTCACAGCCAGCGCTATCAGCCACGATTTGTCTGATTTGTATTGTCGTATTAGTCTGGAGGCTCAGCGCGAGGGGGGGGGGTGTCCATCAAATGGGCACAAAACCAGACCCAACTTTTCTAGCGTAAAATTTTGCGTAGAATACGATGCCGAGTGGTAATCAGTCCGCCGTTGGGGAGTTTTCGAGATATTCGGGGTCAAAGGTCAAATCGGTTCATTTTCACTGAAAGTGAATGCGCGGTCATTCTTGTATCATGAAAATAAGCTGAAAATGATCGAAAGTAATCACACTTTCAATAAAAATGTAAACTTGCTAAATTCACCTTTGTTCTTTGTGACCCCAGAGGTCAAAAGGTCACATTTTCCGTTTTAGCACTAGGAAGATTTAAAGTAATAAATGTCAGCGTAAAATATAAAATCTAAAGCGAAACCTTTTCTAATTAATAATAGTAAAATTTAAAATTTATCTTTAGGTGGTCTTAGCACCGAACTTTTACTTTGAAACGTCAAAAATGAACTTGCATAACAGAACCAAACCGCTTCGGAACCTGTTTCAAAAATACGTAAAAACTGTTAAAATCTCTCCGAATTAGTTTTCCAACGAATGCTATACATAATGATACTAGCTGTCTGAAAAAACAATTGAATAGTTTCATGGCTGGACTTCAGCCTGCAGGTCGCGTCACAAAGCCTGCCAAAATTTTTCCCGCTAAAATTTACCAATACGACATATATATCCTGTGAACTACTATGTGCAATGCATTCGTCGGTTTTATCTGCGTCCATGTTCCGGAGAACTTCATAAAAACTCATAAAAAATTTGCAAACTTTTAATCTCGTCGTCAGATACGTGTTTTCCCGTCACAGCCTGCAGGCTGGAGTCCAACACTGAAACTATTCAATTGTTTTTCAGATAACTAGTATCGTTATGTATAACAATCCTTGTGAAAAAAAATCGGAGAGATTTCGATTTGACAGTTTTTACGTATTTTTGAAACAGGTTTCAAAGTGTGTTGGTTCTGTTATGCAAGATCATTTTCGACGTTCCAAAGTAAAAGTTCGGTGCTAAGATCCCCTAAAGATAAATTTTAAATGTTCCTATTATTAATTAGAATAGGTTTCGCTTTAGTTTTTATATTTTTCGTAGACATTTTATTGCTTTAAATCTTCCTAGTGCAAAAACGGTAAATTTCACCTTTTGACCTCCAGAGTCACTAAGACTAAAGGTGGATTTAGCAAGTTTACATTTTTATTGAAAGTGTGATAACTTTCGATCATTTTTAGCTTCTTTTCAAAATACAAGAATGGCTGAGCATTCACTTTCAGTGCAAATGAACTCATTTGACCTTTGACCCCGAATATCTCGAAAACACCCCAACGGCGGACTGATTTCCACTCGGCATAGTATTCTTCGCACAATTTTACTCTAGAAAAGTTGGGTCTGGTTTTGTGCCCATTTGATGGACCCCCACCCCCCGCGCTGAGCCTCCGGTCTATATTTAGCTCGTGGTGTGAGTGTATGAAGGGGGTATAACTAGACCTAATCAAACACTAACCCTATGGAAGTGATCTTACCTTGAATCACAGCAGTATAAATCATTACAAATGCTAAAACACTATTCCCGTCCATTATGTTACACCTGTTGTCCTATTATGGTATCTTGCGTGTACGGTATATGTTTGTATTATAATATACTCCTAACCTGAGATATGGTGATACCAAACTTATATCTATAATCTAATAAAGTCTATAAATTGCGCAATCGTGGTGTATATGGTGTCGCTACTGAAACTTTATGTACACATGCCCCAAACCCAACCCGATTATGAGCATTGTGATGAACAAACATTCAGTTTTCCCGATGTAAACTGAGTGCAAATATTGAATAAAGGGCACGCCTAGCATATAAATAATATGACGGTCACATTATGTGGCCAATCGGGAATAACTTAACACAGAAGTCAAACCGGATATAAAATCATTTTTTTTGTCAATCACCTATATATTTTGCTGTCTGAAAATTAAAGGGTGGTTCAACCCTTATAATAATGTTCTGGGTTATGTACCAGAAGAGGATAGCGCACATGGGGCATACAATAATGTGATATTAAATAGAAGGTTTTGGTCTAAATATGCCTAATTTATTCATTATACTTGCTATTAAGGTGTTGAATAACCCATATTCCACGGGTTACAATCGCGTCAACATTGTTCCAATGCCTTAATCCAATATATTTCAATTAGGTATTTATTTCATTCTGGAACTTTTTTTTTTTTTTAAAATCCAAAATATTTTTAAAAAATGCAGTTAAATATTGCGCTATGATTTTATTTCTCGGCAAATGAACTATCAGTACTCTTATCTTTGTTTACTTTAAGCAGGCATTATGCAAGAGCCAAATCTGCTGCCTATTGCAGGTCTTTATGTGTGCCTTAAATGTTGCATAATCTATTAATGAGACATTTATTAACATGGCAAAACCGTTATCAACTCTCAATGCCATCGGATATCTCCGATATTAAATAGATTAAATGTTTCGGCCATATTTTGATTCAATTTAAAAATGCAGAAACGAGACTTTTCCTCAAACAACCAGTACGTTGGTTACAATCAATGCACACATCTAGTGAATCCTTCAAAGGCTAATATCTTCGCCCAGAATAGAGTAATTTTACGTTATCTATTTTTGACATATTACAGCAAGAATGACTGGTTCTTTATCTAAATCTTACATAATGCCCCTTTAAGTTTTAGTGATTAAAGTGACCGGTTTTAACTTTGGGTGGCCAACACTACACTGCACATACACATTTTATTATTTCATTTACAAATATTTTTCTCGTTTTATTTTAATTTTCGCCAATGTGGCTTGTCAAACTTAACCATTCATTTCCAAGCCAAAGTCTCTACTTCTTTGCAAGGTGAACTGAAAGATCAAGGAAGGTCATCTCAACATAAACCTCTTAAAGATGTTGTTACTAGACCTTAATCAAACATGAAAATGAAATGAAATGGAGCTTAACGGTTTAACGTCTTACTGTTCTGCTCCGACTGGGCTAATGAAGACGGACATACGTCATACCGTGTGCTATAAGGGAAATTTGCCCGGACAGCGGCTCTACGGCCCACTCTTATATCGAATTCCAAATGCCAAGGGTTTGTTTTACGTGCAAGCCAATGTGTACTCAAAACCTCGGTGTTTCGTCCCATCCGAACGACTAGACAGTTGTCGTTGTTAGGCCATCCGTCCTGCACCACAGGCAAGGGGAAACCACGCCGGATAATCCTGATGAACTTTCTTGGCCAACACCGGACGCGACCTCCATTTAGCCACCATGGCTCCCTTAATCAAACAATCAAAGTTTTTGGAAGACAGTTATCAAACCGGGTAGTTTGTAGCCGATGATCGTCTAACCTTAGGGATAATCCGTTGGACTTTATAATGTAAGGTACCCTAATGGCGATTTGTCGGTGGTGGTGTGTGAAATGCCCTTTAAATAACAACCTCCTAAAGCCTCATGTAGGGTGACCCACCATAAATAAATATCTCCATATATCTCGACAATTACGCCACAATATTTATATATATGCCAAGCCGCAAATCAGTTTCACACAATTATAGTCACTAAATAAACGATCATGTTGTACTTAATAAGCTATGACCATTAATCAAGTATAAATAATAGACTGAAAACTGGTTCCAAGAGTCGTCCATAACATCCAGACACTTTTGAGTAAAAGATAGGTTACGTGCCCTTGTTTTGAAATTAGTCTCGCTTAACCAGTCTATCGACCATTCTACGTCTGATTGACATGTCGGGATAATCAAGACTACTTTTTTTACGAAACATAACAGAAAGCTAGAACAAGAAATTGAATTTAGAAATAAGCACGTTAGGTAGTTCAACAATCGTTTTAAGAAGCTTGTAAAAGTAAAATGAAACTACTGCTAGTATCATGTTCCTGCCTAACCCGAGTGATTCAGATATATTATTTGTACTAAACCAAAAGATGCCGCTCTTAACGGTACAGTTAATGATAAAGCGATTTAAAAAATGAAACGAACGTAATTTCTAAATCTGCTGTAATAACCAGGAAGCTTAATTTAACTGCTATCCAAAATCGTCAACAATAAATTTTTTACGGCTGTAATAGTTGATAGATTTGTAGAGAATTGCACGTGCCATGGCTATTTATAGTATCATACTGTCAGAAAGTTGGTCTCGGCACGGCGAATGTGCACGCTTCAGTGGTAGTCTCGAACTATCAGCGGTGGACTGTATTTTTGTGAGTACATTGGCCACCCTACCACTGGAGTGTAGCTCACAATGATATAGTATAACAGTCTGAATTAACGTCGCTTTCTGGAGAAACTGATCATGTATCTTGGGTTGTTTAGTGTATGTGTTATCCTGTGTGTTGTTAAAGGTAAGAACGAATATCATTAAGTTAAGGCGACCTAAGCATCACCTCTTTAGTTTTTATTAAGAAATAAACTTTAATTATATTCCATATAGTTGGATGCTATTTATTCTGTAACACTGATTAGATCCGGACCATTTTAACTCGGGAGAAGTAGATGACGATTTAGTTGTAATTAGTACGTGCGCGCTGTATCCAACTGGCGTGGTTTCGATTCTCCGGTTGTAGGTGACAAGGAGTAGGGTCGCATGTCGAACCTCGTGGGTTTTCTCCAGTTCATCTGGTTTCATCCCACTGCTAAAGATCCCTACGCGCAAGAGAATTATTGAAATAAAATTAAACCATATTATGTTAGTCCCGAAATGACCTAGTTTGTGTCGAGTGGACGTTAAATTTCATCTCTCTCTCTCTCTCTCGCTCTCTCTCTCTGTCTTACAAGCTGATGTTAAACACCAAGAACAACAACAACCGAAGGAGGCCGACACTACTTTCCTTAGACATATTTCCGTAGCTAAGTGTATTTGTTGTACTTTCAGATCTTGCGGCCACCGGCCTTGATATAACACCATCTGAAACTATACAGGCAGGATCTACATCTTTAACTATACGATGTTCCCCAGCTGCTACCTCGGGCTATTCTTCGATTTATACTATACAGATGAAGAGGCGCTTCCGGGGACAATATCCCCAAACAAAATTACTGGGGATGATTGATATATTAGGGCTCTCACCTGGCTCGAAAATATCTCAACCAAAATATGATATTACTGGGAATCATCAACTAATGTCACCAAATCAGTCGTATTTACAAATCATCATCCACGATCCTGATTGTAACGATGCTGGGGAATATCAGTGTATTACAAACGGAGTTAGTGGCTCAACTACAAAACTCTCACAGCAAGACAAAAATGTTACAATTCAAAGTAAGTTAACATAGTCTTATAGAAGCAAGCAGAACACTTTTAAAATGAGTGAACGTCCGTCTAGTCTATTTGCCCGTCTGTTTGCACGTTGCACTTTTGGACACAGTGGTGCTACTTCTAAATGTAGCCTAACTGACTAGAATTTTGAACTTTGGTTTAGTATTTGGGACACAGTAACTTTGCTTCTAACAACTGAGCTAGAATTTTCAACACTGGTGTAGTTGTTCTCTGGGTTCTATAGTGGGCATTTCCTACTGAGGCTAAGCAAAGGTAATGAGGTTCATTGATCAAGGATTTGGGACACAATAACTACTTCTAATTGAGGTACAATGTTCTCACGTGGCGTAGATGTTTCTTAGATTGGCTGGGGTCACTGATTGGCGTTTTAGGCGTATTCGAAGCAGTTGTAAATGTATGTTTCACAACAGTCAGGACACAAAAACTATGCTTCTAATTGAGGTAGAATGTTCATTGCAGATGTTCATTAGATTGGTTGGGGTCGCCGATGTGCGCTTTATACGTCGTTGAAGCAGCTGTCCGTGTTTCTTCCACAGCATTTGAAACCAAATAAGTCTGCTTCTAGCTGGATAACATTTAGATATGGCTTTGTGTTATGTAAATGTCTTGAATATGTGCGATTGTGAACATTCAAAATTACGCACGGTCGTCTAGATAGTTCCTTATGGTGTGCCAGCATGACTTCTTTTGTCGTGCGGTGAATATCCTTCTAGTGTGCTTGTGCCGGGTTTCCATATATGTTAATAAGTCACGTGATATCCTACATTTGCATATGCAAGTTGATGCTGTGCGAAACATGCTATGTAGAATGCGTGAAGGACAAATGGGATGTGGCAGAGAGCAAATGTAAAATGTAATGAGAGAAATGTAAAATGTAGACACGTCAAAAAAAAGCATTTTCCCACAAAACATTTGTCATTTAACACTTAACATTTGACGTTTTACATTTAACTCTTGCCTTAGTGGTATTTTGACTATATCATTACCGTTATTATGACTTTGTACATTGTACTTTTTACATATAATCAATAGAAAAGACATTGTAGCAGAGCATTTAAAATTGGCAGCTATACCCTTCCATATTACACCAGTGCTAATTTAAGTTCGATAATGAGTATTTGCTGCTTAGGTTAAGCAGTGATTTGCGTGGTAACTGGTTCAGTATATGATAGTCAACAGAAGGGATCGAATTCAATTTATTAGTAAAACTAACCCATTTTTTTATTTAAGACACCCCAAAGTTACATAATGACCCTACTCTTGACATATCATTCATAAAAAGTCTCAATATTTTGAATTAGATCGCTCTTGCATTCAGGATGTTATTCTATTGTATATTCAGTTTGAACCACCCACTCAGGCACACAACAGCATTTCTCTTTTTAGAGATTAAACAGCAATCGCATGAATAATATCAGTGAATGGAATAACTCATTTACTATCAAGGGTATATGCAGTGGGTTTATAGTTACTTCAATAAGGACGTTTAATATATTCAAATCCCGAATTTATTTGATCATCAATCTTATCCTGTTTATTATGCATTATTTACATTTGAATACACCCATATTTCAGAGTGGGCGTTTTGTGTCGTTGGTCATGACAAATGGATTTTAAACGCGATGGCAGCTACAGTTTGTAGTCATTGGGGTCATGAGAGGGGGACCCTTATCGATTTTCAGCATTATGCGACCCTGCCTTTCAGAACACCGTGAGCGTGATATAGGCTAAAGTTTTCAATGGGTTGGATTTTTTTTTTCAAATTCGGTTTGAAACAACAGGGATATCGGTCAACAGATGGTTCCATTCCCATCAGTATTTACAAAATTTTAAATTGATATAATGTAATACACTCGCCGCCATTTTGATGTGGACCAACATAATTGATAAACCTATTCTAAATCCGATTGAATTCAAGCCGGGAGGTTATCTAACGCTGACATTTTGATTTTGTTTTCTAAATTAAATTTAAATAATCAATCCGAGGACATATTAGCATGGATTAAGCCGTGAGAAATATGATATTTTAGAAAAGAAATGCCAAGGACGAATCTTTACTTTAATTGATCTTGCACTGGTATATTGGTACCCAGGTCGACTGGAATGCGGGTATAAGGTTTATCAAGAGCACCACACACATCTAAAGTCAGAACTGCGCGTGTCTCTTATTGGAGCGAGTATTGTGGTTTTATCTCAGACTTGTACGTTGCAAAAAGTAGGGTTCTCATCCGAACGCCTAACCCACAACCCGTGCTACTACGTGCAGTCGACCAGAGAAATTTGAGTAAACCTGTGCGTGAAACTTACGCGACACTCGCATGTGTTCGGCACAGTAGAAGATCGCAGATTGGCCGTCGTGACTTTTGGTCTTGCTCATACAAAGTTTTCGCACGATTTCTTGCTTCTGGTTTGCGAGCTACCAAACTCTACGATCAGTGCTTGTCAAAACACGTGCGGCGGGTTCTGGGCTAGGCTTAATTGGGCTGTCACACATTGACGTATAGCATCAGCGTATACCGACGTATGAGAAATTTAGCAAACACGCTGGTGTACGTTGAATACGTTATGGATACATTTTTAACAAGTTACGAGCAGGCTGAAATACGATGGTATAAGTTGTTGTACGCCGAACGCATGCATAAAATGCCGACGTATTGCTTACAGGTTAGACGTAAGTTAGAAGTACGCGACATGTAAGTTATGTACGCGTTCACGCACGTTACATTTAAGTTACTCATAAGTTGACATACGTCAGCTAACCTATAGGCAACGTACTTCTAACGTCCTTAGAACTTACTGAATGTGTTTGAAACGTATGTAGAGACGGGCATGTGCAGAAGTCTACAATCATGGCAGGTCCCGAGAGGACGCATTGAATCCGCAAGAAGGCGATATTGGCTATCGTTGTCAGAATGGTGGTCAGATGAAGATGGGGACGAGGGTGGGCGTGGAGGTGGTAAGGATGAAGATTGCTTAAGTCGGCCCCTTCCTGCGACTTTCCTTGATTTTTTGGAGGCATGCTGATCGATCGACGTCCACTTCATGGCGTCATACAGCTTTACTTACCAAAACGTTTCATTTTTTTCTTGCAGTATTTGGCGTTGAGGGATAACGTTTTACCCTAAAAAAATGCAAAAGAAACCAATGAAGTTTTGGTTCAGTGATAAATATGTCAGACAAAATCATACTCAAAATCGGGGGATTTTCTGAGAGCGATACTATTTACTGGTGGGAGGATAAATGATTTCTTTTTAAATTCCTCAAACACAGAGTGGTTATGAAAGCGAAATGTGCCGAAAAATCGAATTTGACAAACATTAATTTAAAAAATGTATTCTTCATATGGTACTGCCAAATTTGGTAATATTATAGGTCCAGTATAGCACTATATACCTCAGAATGCCTCGTTCGGCATTTCTGTCCAAACGAGGCAAAAACGTTTCAAAATTTTTGCCCCGATTTTGCCACGTTGTAACGAGGTAAAAAAAAAAACCTCGTTTGTCTGGAGTTCCAAAATGTGTTTTTTTTAAATTGCCCTGTTTTTGGAACGAGGTATTTTGTTCAGAACGATGCTGGGTAAAATTGCCTCGTTTACTAAACGAGGTATTTTATCCAAGATAATTATTAGCTGTATTTGCTGTCAATAAATAGAGTTAATTCACATGACGTCACACACATTGGCCGCCGCCATCTCGGTGGAGAACCAGACTACACGTGATCCGATAGTTACAATGTGATTGCAGTTGGAATTATGATTGTTGCGCTTTTGTCATGTGATTTTTATGTTGAATAAAGATTTTGTCTATGTATTTTAAATTTTATATTTAATTTCTATTAAAATCCGAATTCGACCGTGACATAACGCGTTTATAGCGACAAAACGATGTTTTTTTATAGGCTATAACCGGTATAAAATAATTTGTTTATTTAAAATCCGAATTCGATCGTGGCATATAACGCGTTTATAGCGACAGAGCGGTGTTGTGTTTGTTAATATGATATAATATAAAATTCTGTTTCTACGGCGTTAAGTATTTTTAAAAAAATTACCATTATATTTATTTATATAGGCGAACTAGCTGCATCGTGTTTGTGTACCTACATGGATAATGTCTGACGTGGAAAATTATAAGTTAATAGGTTAGTTGCTGACGCGACATTTCGAGACCTATGTAAATTCAGTTTTTATTTTTATTTAATTTTTTTTCAAAACAAACCCATTAATTAAACACACACACACACACACACACACACTTATAGAAAATCGTGTGAGAAGCTCGATACCGTACGTAGGGTGATGATGAATCGAACGTTTGAAAAACTGTTCTGACTCACTGGATATATTTTCTTTCTTTTTTTGTAAATTTTAATTTGAGGTATAATAATTATTCACTGATTCGATATAATCATTTTATTATTTATGTTATTCATCTTTAATCAAGAGGAAATATCGTAAAAATGCAGACTTTCCGCTGCGTCGCCAACTATTTTATCATTGGTTAGAGCCGTCTAAACGCCGGAAAATTTCCAGTAACTATTAGCTAACAGCGTGCAAGCACAAAGGCGAACAATCTTATTTGCATATTGCATACTTTGTAGTATTATTGGCTGGAATTAATTTTAGATCGATAACCTCAATGACCAATATGTAGTACCGTAGGAATATATAGTGTGCAGTTGCTATATAATTTGCCATAAGGCCTATACAAAAAAAAAAAAAAAAAAAATAAGGAACTAATAGAATAATTTCACGTTAACAAAAATATTTCAAGCACATATTTACTTTAGGCATCGTGATTCCAGGACCGAGTATCGAATTCAGCGATAGGCTACTTATTTTTGGTGCCAAAAATAAAATTTTCATTGGACGATATTCGTGGATTCGTTTACTTGGGCTTTATTTGCAGTCTGGAGTTCGGGGTTTTTTTGGGGTTTTTTTGAGGGGGGGGGGACAATTTTGTAAGAAATGACGAGAGCGATTT